TAAGTCCGGAAAAGTTAAGCCTAGAAGCTAAAACTTTTTAAAGATTATTTTAATTAAATAAAAATAGTATATATTTATGGTGTACATACAAGACAATATTTTGATATGTGTGTACACTGTAGAATTGCTAAATCAAGTTAATAACATGCATGACCTTACGAACTTACTTTTTTTTTTGAGTCGAAGTCTCACTCTCGCCCAGGCTGGAGTGCAGTGGCACACTCACAGCCACGCCAGCCTCGACCTGCTGGGCTCTGGCGATCCTTCTGCCTCATCTTTCCAAGTAGCCGGAACTACAGGTGCATGCTCCCCCGCCCGGCAAATTTATTTTATTGTAGAGAAGAGGTCTTGCCAAGTTGCCCAGACTGGTCTCAAACTCGCGGGCTCAGGCAATCCACTCGCCTCAGCCTCCAAAGTGCTGGGATTACAGGCTGAGCCACCGAGCTCGGCCCTACTCCTTGTTTTTTTTGTTTTTTGTTTTTTATTTTTTTGAGTTGGAGTCTCACTGTCACCCAGACTGGAGTGCAGTGGCCGCTCCCGGCCACCGCAGCCTCGACCTGCTGGGCTCCGGTGATCCTTCTGCCTCAGCTTTCCGAGTAGCTGGAATTACAGGCGCGCGCCACCACACCCGGCTAATATTTTGATTTATTGTAGAGATGAGGTCTCGCCAAGTTGCCCAGGAGGGTCTCGAACCCGCGGGCTCAGGCAATCCACTCACCTCAGCCTCCCAAAGGCGTGGGATTACAGGCTGAGCCACCAAGCCCGGCTCCTACTCCTTGTTTTTATGAGTTCAACCTTTTTAGGTTTCACATGTGAGTGAGATCACATAGTGTTTGTCTCTTTGTGTCCTAGTCTAAAACTTGATAATCGTCAGCCAAATGGCAACCAAAGCAAAAACTCCAAAGTGAGGGAGACCGGGGCTCTATTCAGCTGGGACCGAGAACTAAGCTAATGATGCAGGGACACTCATACATTTAGAATACTAGCCATTTTCCTTCAGAACTACAATGAAGAAATAAAAGCCAAGGCTAACATTCAGTTCGTCCCCTGCTGGAGAAGCAGAGTGGTCTGTGGGCTCCAGCATTGAATCTGCACCATGACCAAGTCTAATCTCGGGTCAGTTATATAACTGCTCATGAAACAGGTCTGATAATAGTGCCTCCCTGTGGGTTTTTGTGAAGATCATATACGAATTTTGTGGAACATCGTCATCACTCAGTAAATAGTAGCTGCTGTTTTTCTGTTCTGAGAGTGACTACAAAGGAAGGCACCAGAGATATTTGGGCTAGATATTTACTATGGTCTGAATGGTTGTGTCCCCTCAGATTCATATGTTGAAATCCTGACCCCCAAGGTGATGGTATTAGAGGTGAGACCTTTGGGAGATGATTAGGTCATGAGGGTGGGGAGCCTTCATGAATAAAATTAGTGCCTCATAAAACAGTCCTCAGATAGACCCCTTGGCCCTTCCCCCATGAGAAGTTACAGTCAGGATATGCTCATCTATGAATCAGGAAGCGGGCCGCTGGCATCTGGATCTTAGATTTTCCAGACTCTAGAACTGTAAGAAATAAATTTCTGTAGTTTTTTGTTTGTTTGAGTCAGGGTTTCAGTCTGTTGCCCAGGCTGGAATACAGTGGCACGATCACGGCCAGTCTCCAACTCCTGGCTTTACGAGATCCTCTTGGTCAGCTTTCCGAGAAGTTGGGACTATAGGCAGGAACCACCAGGCCGCTAAGTTTTAAGATTTTTGTAGAGGTGAGGGCTTGCTATGTTGCCCAGGCTGGTCTCAAACTCCTGGGCTCAAGGGATCCTCTCACCTTAGTCTCCCAAAGTGCTGAGATTACAGGCATAAACCATCGTGCCTGGCAAATTTCTGTAGTTTATAAGCCACCCAGTCTATGATATTTTGTATAGCAGATTGAACAGACTAGGACAATATTAAAAAAAATAAGCTTCCTGATTACAAGGGCTGTGAAATCCTAGACTACACAGTGGAGGCATGGCAACCAAGAGATTTGAAGGCAAAAAGCAAGCCATCAACTTTCTGTGACTGATTGTGGCCCTAAGCAAAGGCCGGGCCTGTGTGCAATGACTTCTCAGGATCTCTTTCAGCCTAAAAGTTCCTGGAATGCCTTTCAGCTTTGGCTCCTGGCAGGTTTCTAACACTACAACAGTGATGTCCCCTGCTATTGAGAACCCTGGGAACAGCTCAGCTCCATGGTCCAGCCATATAAATCTGATAAAAATAGAAGCTGAAATACCATCCTGGAGTTGCTATTTTTAAAAGCGTCTGAGATGCTGGGTGGGGTCTATTTCTCCCTCAAATGCCATCTTGCTGTTCCCTTCTCCTGGTGAGCAGGGTGCTAACGTGGTGCATGAGAGGGATGGGAGCCAGAACCTGTGAGCACATTTGTCAAGTGGCTCCAGGGCTGCTGCCCATATCCACACTGGCCAGGGAGGACCCGCAGGGCCGGGCTGCCCAGGTCTGCACGCACCTGCCCCCTTCCACACCCCTTTCAGCTCTGTTACCTCCCTCTGCTCCCTCTCCTACTCCGGTGGCCCCAGCAGAGAGGTGTCCTGCCACTTCCATCACAAAAGAAACACAGGAGAGGGAAAGGGGAACAGAGGCAGCCTCGCTCAGAAGGGGACTCAGCCTTGTTGCCTCTGGGGCTGCCTTGGCCCCACCTTGGTGTAGCTAACCTTCAAGAGGGACTGTCCCCACCAGCTGAAGCTCTGCATCCCATTGCCTTCTGGTGAGCAACTCATAATGTTTTATAGGTGGGCCAAAGGGATGCTGTGGAATTGAGAGGGCTCCAGAACCCAGTGCCTGGGATTAAAAAAAGCACCAGAAAAAAGAAGAAGAAGAAGAAGAAAGAAAGAAGAAAATAAAGTACCAGAATTGCTTCCCTCCTGCCCCACAGATGATATGGCTTCAAGGCAGTAAGCTAAGCTTCTGGCTGTGCTGTTAAGAAACTGGAGGGAAAGATCATGAGTAAGCACATTGTGGCCTCAAGGGAGGAGATCAGAATTATCACGAGCTTCTGGGCACCCAGCGACCAGGCTGGGATAAGCTGGGGGGAGGGAGAGAGACCTGAACAAAGCTTATGGGGTGGGGAGAAGAGTGCTGTCTGCTCAATAGCAGCATTCTGGTACAGAAGGTTATACCTTCAGAGCAAATTTGCATCCATTGCCTGCTTTAATACCAACAATAGCCCTTTGGATAAGCACCATTATTCCCATTTTTTTTTTCTGGTAAGAAAACTAAAGCTATTTAGTAGCAGAAGCAAAGTTAGAACTCAGGTCTCCAAGAGCAAAAGTTGGTTCTTAAGTTTCATCTTCTGGCAGAGTGAAGTTCACATGGTTATAGCAAGAGCTGCAAATCGTGTTTCGATCTAGTTCATCCAATAGCCAAGTTAGAGGCTGGACTGATTCTTGGATTACCTCTGCCGGCCTCACTTCATCAGTAAGGGCAGTTGCTTATGGTCTCTGGGCCAGTTTTCCTACATGCAGAACAGGGAGGATCTTCCTTCTTCCTCATGACTTTTTGCCCAGGGCAGGGGCTTAGTCATTGTGTTATTTACACCCAGCTTAATTCCGGGCCTGGAGATGACATGCGGTAAATATTTGCTGAATGAATGCTTGACTAAGTAAGCCAAAGGCACCATTCAAACAAAATTGAGTTAGACATTGGTGAGATGCCAGACGGCCTCTGCCCATGCAAGGTATGATTTAGGATGAACAGTCACCTGTGGAAGAACCTGGAGGCGGACCCTCTTCACTGCTCGTTTGGAGCTCCCTGAGCCACATGTTCTCCACAGACAAGCCTTCCACTTAAGCTGAAGCGGGCTTTGAGCTGCCCCTTCTCCTAACCCCCTTTGCACTGTCAGTTACTCACACCTTGCACTTAGTCACATCCTGTCCTGCTTTATTCTTGAACGGAGTGCATTGTGAGCCTTCTCTCTGCAGCTGATGGTAAGCTTCCTGGGGACAGGGGTCGGGTCTAACATTTTCCTTGGAGCCCTGGCGCCCTGGCTGTTCCGAGGGCATTCACGGAGGGGTTCATAAACACTGTGATGACCTAAGAAAGGGTCGGGCTTGGGGGGCTGCGGATCGTCCTGTAGGGTGACTTCTGGACTGTTCTCCTTCAGGCTGGGCAGTTTCCGGGGTTACTTGAGGGATTTCTGGGCTCAAGAAACCAGGGTCAGGGCCCTGACGGGGGTTTCCCCCTGGAGACAGGATGCCTGGCGCCTTCAGTAAGGAACGGAAACTGAGCAGATTTCTGAGGCCAAGATAGAGTCTGCAAGTGAGGGGTGCAGAGGGAGCGTTGTGGGGGCGGCAAGATCCTGAACGGGGCAGAGGAAGTGCCCATGTCTAAGTCCAGGGCACGTGGCTGCCTTGCCAGCATAGGAGCTAGGAAGGATGGGCTCCTGGAACAAGGCTCTCGCTCCGTGCCTCAGTTTCCCCATTGGGGGAAGGACACAGTTCGCCGCGTGGGAGAACAAGAGAAGCCTTTCTTAGTTCTCGTTGTTTCCAGGCGGTGTGCGGAGGCTGCGCTGGGCATATCCATCCTGGCGCCGCTAACAGCGTCTGCCCCGGCTCTGCCCTCGCCCCATCCGGCCTCCTCTTCCGCCCCTCCGCCCCTCTCGCACCCCGGCGCCCCTGCCTGCCTCTCTCCGGGCCTCGGAGGCTCGCACACCAGCACAAACCGGCGACGGCGAGGCATCGCCCCCGCCCTTCCCCTCCTCCACCCGCCTT